TACTTCTGCATACAAAAGTTTTCCCATAGCAACAAGTTTTTGGATATAATCCACAATCTTTTGACTCTATTTGATAAGTTCTAGCTTTGCAATTTTAAGATTCTGGTAATAATGTTCAATAGAAACACAAACTGACTTTTAATACCGCTATCAAATTTTTTGGGGGGGATATCTGTGGAAAACAAACCTCCTACGACATTTAGACATTTATGTGCATCATCCTGAATCTGCTCAACTTCCTCCATGTTTTCTTCACCGAGCTTCCATGGGCCTACCTGTTTGTGTGCCTCCTCAACTATTTTTGGAGCAATAGTTGACTGCCTGTCTTACTCAGTATCATTCTATGCTGGTTGTCTTTGGGGATGACTTAGGTGCTTTGCTATAATTGTTATTGCGTTTATTAAAAAAGTATTAATATTATATAATTGATTTCTATATTTTAATTGTTGTATTTTCTGTTTTTAACTTTGATGTCAATATATTGATATAGTTTAGTGCTATTTGTGTAATTTATGTTTGTTTAAAGGCATCAGGGAAATTAGTAATAGTAATTAAAGGTTTTAATAAGTCGAGTAGTAACAAAATTAGTTACATATTATTTATCTGCAATATTATTTTAAAATATTAAATTTCAGCGAACTGCTGTTGGTACAAACTAGTGTGAATGTGTGCATGCATGTATTGTTTTAATCTGGTATTAAAGTAATTTATTTTTCAACAGTGAAAAATGACCATTTAAATAATTTATTAGATAACAAATATAATCTAGTTCTAAAGATTATATAAAAGACTATGGTACCGTATCATAAACTTAATACATTTTAGCAATTTACACACAAAAATGAAGGGGAGAAAACTTATACAATAAAGATGTTATAGAATGTTGCAGCAATAATTAGCCATTTTCATAATTAAATCAATGAAAGCTTTTACCATGCCATCTTTTTTTATCTCATTGATGAACTTTATGAATCAAATTTTCAAATTTCATAAAATTAACTTCGTCTTTCTTCTGTTGCACTTCTCGTAAAATTTCAATTCTTGTCTCAAAACTTTCCTCTCAGTGAGTTCTTTCCTAAGATACAAAACTTGTATTGGTACACTTGGCGTGTTTGTAAATAGCAGTTATATAAAACTTATAGTAGTCAATCCTTTTTGAATGCACTTTTCAATTATCCAAATTGGAGCTGAAAACAATGAATGTTTCACAGACCATTGCATTCAAAAATACTGTCACTGGATTATTGGCTCATAAATTGCATGTATGTTAAAGTTATATAAGTAAATATACTGTTTTTCAAACATCCCATTTGTGGAAAGTCCTGTGTGCATAGAAATGGTATGTAACATTGTAGCCTTGTAGTTTGAGACTTGGATAACTAAACATATTGTTATATTTCACTGGTTCATGAAGATCTAAATAAAAGAATTATAATTATTAGGAAATCAACCTTTACTGCAGCTTTAAACCCCAGGATCAAATTCTATGGAAGATATGAAAGTTTATAAGTGTGTATTGACTGTTTGCTATGGGAGCATTTTGCCATGGGAGCTGAATGCCCTTTCAAGGTTATAGGAGAAATGAATGTGAGAGAATCTGTCCATTTGAATGTTCTCCTTCAAAATTGGGGCAAAGCTTTACAGTTAGTGTAGTGGGACTATACATGTACAACCAGAGATAACGTCTGCTGTCTCATCAATTTTTTTTTCCTTGTCTTGTGTTGTAATATTGTTTTACAGATGAACATATTAGCTAAAAATAGCTCTGCAAATGAAGATTTTAGATAAAAGTAGCTGGAAGAGAATTGAGGCAATGCTGTGAATTCCTAATAATGCAGAAACAGGTATTTCCTGTTTGGTTCTGAAAATGCTAAAATTGCAAAATCATTGTTTCATTAATTCATAAGTTCAATCAAAATCATAAATTTGCGACAGAACTGTTGATTTGCTTCTTCACTCAAACATTAAAATTTCTTGGTATTGAAACTCAGTAGTATTTGAGTCTAGTTGACCAAGTTGCAATTAATTCGTGGCTCCTCACAGCCTTCTGTTTATATCATAGATAAAGGAGAGAGAAAGTACCACCAGAACTTTTTGGGGAAATCAGTCATAGTGTTTTGAAAAAGTTTATTCAGTAAACTTCCAAAATATCATCAAAGCCAAGTAGATATTAACTAGCTATATCTCCACTTTAAGCTATTCTAACAATTCTGTCACATATTTCCTCAGGTACTGCAAAATAATACAGCAATTAAGTAAGTATGCACAAATACAAAAAAGATTACTCAGATGCACAATCAGTAAACACAAAAATACCTAAAAAATATGCTAAGTGTAAACATAAAAGTACCTGAAAAATATGCTTACTTTATAAATGAATAAAATTTTCAATACAGTCAAAAGTCGTTAATCCGGACTCGTCGGGACTTTGGCGATTCCGGATTATCGATTTTTCCGGAATATAGATCATCAGTTTAAATCTCGTAAGATGGCATGCAGAAATTCTAAAATTAAAAATATGAAACCATAATTTATGAAATAAAGAGCAATTATGATCTAAAGGGTATCAAAATTTACAAAAAAAAAAAAAACTTAATATTTATTTGTTTACTTTATTAAACATTTCTTTCAATGTAAGTTGCTTCGTTTTATGTGATAATACTTTCTCTTTAATTCTATAAACAGATGTAATTTCTTGTTCAGTTACAAAGTTCCGTTGTTCAAGTCCCGTAATTGCTGTGCCGAGAATACCGACTAACTTCTCAATCGAAATTTTTTCGTTTTCACTAACCTCTCTGTCACCTTCTTCATGTCTTTATCCATTTCGCAGCAATTCCACTTTTTGTTTGATGGACACGAAACATACTTTCGGTTTGTAGATCCTTTTGGGAGCTCCAGCATCGGAAATTCTATTTGACATAATCGAAAGTTCAAGTTTACTTTTATAAAATTTCTCTTACAGTCTGCAAAAAATAATAAGCTGGATCCAATTCGAAGATTAAGGAACAACGCAATCATCAACATTAACTGAATTAGATAATTTTAGCTTATACCGTACGTAATCTGCACTTGCGCACACGCATATGCACAGTCATAAAAGTCTTACGCGCACGCATAAACGCCTATGTGTATGTGTCAACGCGACGCATGCGCAGAAAGTTTTTAGCTTTGAGGTCCGGATCATAGATCATTTCGGATTATGGGTGTCCGAATTAACGACTTTTGACTGTATTAACTAATAGACTGATATCATTATGCTAGAAAACATAAATGATTTCTTAAATTACAACATAATCTTAAGGCATGAACCATATTTTGAAAAAGGTATGTATCTAAAACTTGTTTATGTCTTTATTTACAAACTTGCTGTTGTGTTTGATCTCAAGTTGGAATTTAATGAGCATGCACATATTCTTAGCATAAAATCAAATGCTTTTATTTGTTATACATGAAAAGTTGTGTTTTTTGTGTGTCAAGAGTGCTATTTGCTGTAGAAATGCAGTGATGGACTGGGTTTTAAAACTCAATACCTGGTTTTAGATGAAATTATATTCTCTATTGGCTTGTATATAAGTTATTACAGCTGCTACATATGAGCAGGATTAGATGAGGATAATTGACTGTGCCATTTAATATAGTAGTACTTATTTTTGATTTATAAAGTTGAATCTATGTAATAAATTGTATATTGTAAATATTTAATTTTTTATGCATATTTGAACCTGATGTGTGTTTGGGCAGATCTTGTATAATTTGTCCTTAAGATCTAATACTTCTGTAAGCTAAGAATTGTGTTCCAAAAACATGAGCACATTAAATGCCCTTTCAAGATCACTATTTCAAGTGGTTTGATAGATGGTGTGTATGACACTTTTTCTGTCTTTTCCTTTCATCTATTTAAAGACATGGTAAATTCCAATGAAATCATCTTTCAAGAAGTACCATCTCATTTTACAACAGCTGTACAAAATGTGTTTTAAGTTTCTCTTTCAGTGTAACCCTGATACTGTTTGCTCTTGCATTTCTTTTGTGATGATACTTTTCTGTATAACTTTTAAAAAATATGAATATCTAGAAATAAGGGAACTTTTTTGTTTCATCAATTCAAAGATATGGCAGATTCCAACTGGATCATTTTACATCAAGAAGTACATTCTTATTTTACAACAATTGTGCAAAATGTGTTGTATTTTTCTGTTTCAGGATGGTGGGATAACCCTGACAATGCTATGACCATTTGTTCTTGCATTTCTTGTGACAGACCCTTTAATTAGTCCATTTAAATGTTCTCCATCAAAAATGGGGCGAAACTTTAAAGCTAATGCAGTGGGTGTCGATCTGTACAACCAGAGTGAAATTGTGTGGCACCCACTTTCTTCAGTCTTGTGCTGTAACAATACTTTACAAATGGAGATATTAGCTAAAAATAGCTCAGAGAGAATTAAGATACAATGTCATGAATTCGTATTAATGTAGGAACAGATCTGTTTTGCTCTGAAAATTCGAAAAATGCACAATCATTATTTCAATAATTCATAACTTAAATAATAAATCGTTATGGTGGATTGGATCCTGCATGGTGGGTTAGATCTTTTCTGTAGCATTAATAATGCTATGACCATTTGTTCTTTTATTTCTTTTTTGATTGTAGAAACACTCATTTACAGTAAAAGACTGAGAATCATGTTTTCTGTAGTAGTTACAAGTTCTAATGTAGGCATTCTTGCTGAAATATGGATGAAAATGAATGTCATTTTAATATGTTGCTTTGACTAGTAATTGCACAATCAATGCTCTAATGGTTTTCAGAATGTGTGATAGTTATTAACTATAACTAAAAAAAACTTTAGAACATTTGACATTAGTGAACACTTCAGTATTTTTCTGATGCCCTGTTCATCATTGAGTGTTAAAGCCTGAACCTATATTTAAATAGATTTTATTTCCACTACCCTATATTTTAGTAATCTAAAAATTTTTGTTTTGTTCATATTATATAGGCCTCAGTTTGCACTGCTGGATGAATGCACTAGCGCTGTTTCAATAGATGTTGAAAGCCAAATTTATCAGGCAGCGAAGGACAATGGAATCTCTCTTTTGACGATAACTCACAGGCCATCGCTTTGGTGAGTATACTTAATTATTATTATTATTAATTTTTTTTGTTTTGTAATTGTGTACTTTTAATTTTGAATTTTTAATTACTTTTTATAATAATTTTTTTTTTAAGAACTTGAGTGGTCTTTTGATGTGCAGTGGAATTTATAATATAAAGCTATATTTTTTATGTGTGTGTTGTAAACATCTTGAAGGGTTGGGAGAGAGAAATATTCTGTTCCAATGTGCACTAGTATTTTTCCAAGATTTTACACCTGTTCCATGTTTATGATTTCATTAATTGCTCAGTTATGTGTAGGAAAGGTTTATATTAGCAATTTTTTATAACTGTGTAAGCTGTTTAAAAGCAGAAAAGTTTGTAATTTCAGGTTTAGTGAGTTCTATTATATATCCATATTTACTAAAATAATTAAATTTAAAATGTAACAGGGAGTAACTATAAGTGTATGACATTTTCGTTCTGTTTTTCTCTTTTTCCTAGATATTTCTGAGGAATATTTTGTAATATTTATCTGCCTTTTATATTTTCCATCTGTAGTGAACGCGCAATAAAATTCCTCAGTTATATTTTAATAATTTCCATGTCTTCTCTTTTACAGGAAATTTCACACTCATTTACTCCAGTTTGATGGTGAAGGTGGATGGAGTCTTGAACCGTTGGATACGAATACCAGGCTTTCTTTGCGGGATGAAAAAGAAAAGCTTGAAGCATCTTTAACCGGTGTTCCTCAAATGGAGAGGAGATTGAGAGAGCTATGCACTTTACTAGGAGAAAATTCTACAGTTATGGTTGATTCTTCAGTGGGTCGTTTATCACCTACCAAAGATGGTTCTTCAAATGCCAGTGACACATCCTATGAGACATCTATTTTAATTGAAAGTTTAACAGATTGATAAAATAGTTTTGTATGATATGAAAAGCTTTATGTATATTATTTATACTGTCATAGAAACAAGAACTAAGTCTTACATCTTTTGTATTAGTTGTGAAGCTCATATATATCTATGTATTATTACAGAAATTGTTCAATTTTTCTTTTTCTTGGATTTTTGGGTCCTTCAAGTTACTTAAAAATGCCTTAACATACTTTTAAATTGTGATGTGTTGAACTGCAGCATGTCCCTTCCCCTTAATTATAAATTAATTAAGTCATTTAATTATGTATTATTATGTACAGTATATGTATAGCTATCTTACTTTCATACAAGTGCATCTAAACTCATAAGGTCTGTATGTGTAGCAGTAAAATGTGATTTTAATTGTTCATCTTTTTCTCTTATCTACAGATAATTTTTTATGCATGAGCTTTACATCATGCAGAAATTTTGAAATTCATTTGTTATTTACAACAAAAATAATTTATTTTTAATGATACACGAGTATGGTAGTCACTATAGTCACTATATCGTGTAGTGTGCAAAATTATTTTAAAAAAATTTTGTAAATTTTTTTAATCAAAAATATTAGTAATTAATTGTTATATTTGTTGTAATTTTAAAGTTAGTTTTATATTATAAATATTTTAAATATATTTATTTGTAAAGTATTTTTGGTTAATGCTCATTTTAATTATTTACTGTAATGAAGATTTCTGACTGAGTATGAATAATGGAAATTTTATATTTTGTATTTCAATGATTTTTCTTTTATGCCATTTATGTTACATTTATTTCTGACATTCCTGTAGGTTTTCATTATTTCAAATCTGAATTTTTCAACTGTAAAACATTAATTTAACTATGTAGAACTTTTGTTTGTCCCTACTCGAAAAGGTTGTTGTTTTGTATAGCATAAAGCCTCCCGTCCATACTTTAACACAAAAGCAAAAGAATGTTTATGTAGTGGTGTGTGAGTTTTTGTTGTAAAAAATGAATGTTGAAATGGTGTGCTGCTTCTTATACATTAACCTGAAACAATTCCTACTACAGTACAAAGTCCGTAATCCGGACTCGTCAGGACTTTGGCGATTCCGGATTAAGGGTTTTTCCGGATTATAGATCATCAATTTAAATCTGGTAAGATGGCATGCAGAAATTATACATTTAAAAACATGAAACCGTAATTTATGAAATAAAAAGCAATTATGATCTAAAGGGTATCAAAATTTACAAAAAATAAGCTTAATATTTATTTGTTTACTTTATTAAACATTTCTTTCAATGTAAGTTGTTTAAGTTGCTTTGTTTTTCTGTGCTAAACACGCATGCCTAAAAGATACAAGAAAAAGAAAGTTTGTGGCTTTGAGGTCCGGATTATAGATCATTCCGGATAATCGACGTCCGGATTACAGACTTTGTACTGTAACAACAGTTTCCAGGAAGGGTGTAAAATGGACTTACAAAGAAAGGTATATATAATAAAGATTAAGCTAATATATTTCACTTTATATATGTCTAAATGTCAACTGTGCATGAACTTTCCAGTAGTACAGTATTTTTTATAACTGATGAACATTTAAATATAGCAAGCCCATAATTTTAGTTAACAACTGTTTCTATTAATGTAATGAGAAGAAATGCTGAACAGTTATAAAGAAAAGGAGGGTGGACATAAAGTAATGTTTTGATGCTTAAAAAGTTCTCCTCTATGTTTTTGATCCATTCACTTCTTTACTTTAAGAGGGCCACTGGGTTGACTGGAAAAATCATAAAGAAAAGAAATATTAAGTTGATAAAACAGCTTGATTTGCTAAGCATAAAATATTCTTTATTGTAGATATTTGATCTTTTTGACACCTAAAAAATGTAAGCATATAAATGTGGATAACATTAAGTGTATGTGCATACAAAAGTAAGTTTCTACCATGTGTCTATATAAAAATATATTTTCACATGGAAGTGAAAGGGATGAAATTAAACTTCAATGAAATAGCTTCAGCAGGATGCCAGGAAATGTATTGAACAATTTTATCTATATTCAGAAAGGAAATAAAAGCAATATCTCTTTAACACTTGAAATGTGTGCTGACCTGGAGTAAGTCAATTTCAACAATTCAACACTGTGTACAAGTTCCTCAGTCAGTAGCCCCTTGAGTGCATTTACTGTATAAATTCAATACTTAAAATGAAAATATGTTCTCTAAACTATTTTTTAAGCATTGGACTAAAGTATTTTATAAGCAATAAACATACTTGTGATAATTAACTGCATCTTAGAGAAAATGGAAGCACGTTTACTCAAAAATTATATTATTACTTAATGTATATCCTATCCCCCCATTCTTATTATAAGTTAATAAATATTTGGAGCTTTGTAATTTTCTCATTATTTTAAATGGTAAAACTGAAGCATTATATACTTCGAAAACTGTTCTCAGTTGAAGAATTTCATTCCGGTTTTCCTCACAAGCTGCTTGTGTATATATATAGAGAGAGAGAGTAATTATGTTTCTGTTTAAGGAAATTTTTTTATCATGTTTAGATTTTATTAATTTTGTGCTACAGCTTTTTGTAATAAAAAAATGGGTTATAGTTCCTGTAACAGTTTTTATGATTCAACTAAAAAAGTAATGTTTTTATACTTAACATTTCCAAGATAAATAGTTGACTCATGTTCTTTAACTCATGGTTCAAAAAATTTTAATGAAATTTTTTAAACCACTTATGTTTTTCAGTGCTTTATTGACATTATATGAATGTTTTCTTGGCATGTATCTTAGATATTTGGTTATCATTTATGAGAAAATGCTTTTTACAATTTCAGTATTTTGTGTAGGATGAAAGTATCTCAAATGATTCAAAAATAGCTAAGTGTAATTTATTAAAGCATCACACACATGCTTGATTAATTAATTTTAAAAATGTGTTTGTGAATTCTGATTTTGTTTTTTTTTAATTTAATTTTCTAAAAAGCTTCCAATTATATTTTGTTATAAAATAATAATGTGACAGTTTTATAAAAAAAAACTGGAAAGGAGAAATGCAACAAAATTTCCCTGGCAGGATATTGTTGTTTGGTGTCAAATAGTGAATAAAATGTTTCATTTGTTGAATCTTCCCTAAAATTTTTATGCTAATCAGCATGTAGGTGAAAACAAAAAGCCATCATTTACCTTAGTTTATTAGGACAATAAAAATATTTTGTGGCGGTGTTCAAAATTCCTGTAGCCTTTTAATAAAATTGCGTAGTGCAAGACAGTTTTTTGAGTGATAGAAAAGAGAAGGCTTTGAAAATAAGAAATGAAGCCTTTAATATATTTTTTACTTGGGGAACTTGTGAAATATATATTCATAATTTGTTTTATTTTGTGAGTAAGCAATTGAAGTAATCTTTTCAAACCTATATTTTTATTTGTTTAAAAAGGGAAGCATTATTAAATTTTATATGTAAATTTGAGTGAAATTTAAAATTTAGTAGTATTTGTGTTACCTCTTGTAAAATACTTGTATTTACAGTACAAGGCTTATAATTTTACTCGTCATGATGTACTTAGATATTTTTATATGTATTTGCAATATTTTATTTAATCTTGTACCCATTGCTATCATTATGTTTTGTACAGGTTTGATGAAACAGGTCTTCAGCCAAGTTGACATAAATCGCAAGCATATTGTACAGCAATTTTTTGTAGATCTGAGTTTCAGTTTGTTCATAAAGCTTCTGTGATTTTTTTTAATTCATGTAAGCTGTATGAGTGGTCAAATTCCTCACTTGTGTGCAAAAGCACTTATGCCTCAGGATTAACTGTTTATTGTATCTTATATTCTTACGCTGAGGAAAAATCAAATTTCCTTTTATTATATTTTTGAGTTATCATAAAGTTATGTAAGAACAAGTGTATATTTTAGTAGTTCAAAATATTTTAGTGTAATTATCATGTCTAAGATATTTTTCATTTTGTAATAGAAGAAAAATTAGGTTTTATAGCCTCTTAAATATACTTACTAGTGTCGGTAATATCAGTACATGGTGTTTAATGTTACATTCCATATTTTAAATGTGTTCATTGAAAAGATGTATTGCAAATGGATCTGTGATGCTGCTAAATAAGCAAACTATAAACAAAAGTGACTTCTTTCAAACGTACATTCTTTTATATAGTTGTAGAAAATAAAATTTTTTGTTCTGAAGATAATAATCTGCTGCAGGATAGCGAGCAAAGCCATCTATGTCCTGTTAAAAAAATAAAAAGAAAGTGGCTTTAATATGTAGGTCTTTCTGTAAAATACCTTGCATTATGAAATACATGCTTTGGTTAATGATCCTTTTTTTATTTATAGTACTTGCATATATTTTGGTACATTGATAATTCTGAACATTTAAGAAATGTTATAAGGCATTCTACTTGTGACATTCTTTAATAATTAATTTCTTAATTACTTCTTTTTGGCTGAAAGCCAAAGATAGTAGACCCATGAATTAATAGCAGCATTTTGTAGATATTTTCTGTTTGTCAGATTTATCATTTTATATCTTATTAGTATGACTGTTAAATATTGCTTCCATATTAACTTTTTATAAATATTATTTTGTTTAATTCTGAACTGAATGTACCTATATGTTTACAATAGATACCTGTGTTCTTTGTGTCTAGATAGATGTACAGCCGAACCTGCTTGAGATCATTTTGACTGCTAATACTTGTAAAAATTTGAATTAAATCAGATTTCTTCTAATGAAATGAAAATTTAGTGGTGAAAAGCGTGGAATTTTTGTTGTTTGGTTATCGAATAATTATAAAAAATTTAGCTTGCTCACAAAAATTAGGAAGTTTAAAATTTATGATCCATTCATTTTATATGCAGGGTGTACTGCAAATATTGTGACAAACTTATAGGGAAGGTAGGGCACATCATAAGGATTAAAAATTGCATAGGAACCTGTACTCAGAAATGTCAGGAGTAAGTGGTAGCAGAGGTAGAAGATGGGAAAGGAAACAAGAGAGTGATTAATATTAAACATTTATTAGACATGAATACAAATGGTGTTTCGACAGCTTGAATATTACAATAGATTCTTGAAGCTTGCACCATCAGATGCCAAACGCCTGACACCAATGCACCATTGATTGCTGAACATGTTCAAGCACACCAGTAATTTCTTTGATTGCAGCAGCTGCATAGGCAAGTCTTGTCACGAGATCCATTTCAGAAACAACAGGATTGTGATTCATAACACTTTTGATGGCTCTCCACAAAAAGAAATCAAGGCTTGATAAATCTGGTGAGTGTGGGGGGGGCCAGGGAACCGGTCCACCATGCCCACTTCATTGATGCAGGAATGATCTGTTCAAATGGCTATGAACATCCAGTCCAAAATGAGTCCACTTCTTAAAGACCCATAGTCGCACAAATTTTGATGCAGACGTGCAAACAAACTGCTTTGGTTGATGTCTGTCGGAAAAGCTTTCTCGATAAATGCATGCAGCGGTTTGTCCATTACCCTCAGGTATTCCATATACTAAGTGCATGTCTGCAAGCTCTCAATTCGTATAGTGTGCCATGCTCTTCATATGGTGCCTACCGCTTGAATGAGGCAATCCTCAATTTCCACTAGCACTCTTCTGTAGAGCACCCCCTGACGGTGTACAGTGACGTTTCTGGGCATGGGTTCCTATGCAATTCTTAATCCTCGTGATGTGCCCTACCTCTCCTAGAAGTTTGTCACAACATTTACGGTACACTCTGTATAACAGTAGTGATATGTTACTTAAATAATGGTAGTAATAATACTGCTAAAAAGTGTAATGAAATGTATTTTATGCGTTTATTTTGAAAGAAGTGTTAAAACATTATTTTATTTATTTATTTATTTATTATTATTATTTTCAGTGCAGTCCACTCTATAAATGTTAAAGGTAGATTTTTAACTTTCACTACATTTAAAATAAATTTGTATCTGTGTCTGTAAGCTTAATTTGTTGGTGATCATATAAGCTGTTCAAATCTATCATGCAAGTTGTTGGAACTTGCTGAAGCACCTCAAGTTGTTTTCCTTTGACTGTCCAAACTTAATGCTGTTGGTTTCAATTAAACTAGTTAAAACTAATGAGTTATAAATTCAACCTATTACGATTATGTCTTGTTATGATCAAAGCTGTTACCTTTATGGTTAATGCATAGTAGATATAGCAGATAATCAAGCTGTGGGGAGAAATTTTTATTTTGAGGTAAATTCAGCCATTTTTTTTTATGCTGAGTAACAGGGTGAGAACAGTTGTGGTCATTAAACAGTTATGTAGAATTTTAAAATCTCCATTCATTTTAGTATCACTTTGACAGATTTCTCTAATATCAGTTTCTTCTTTGTGATCTGATATTAAAATAATTTTGCATATATATTTTCCTATTTGAATCTGATGATTATAGAGACTGCATTGTGTCATTATATTTTCATTACTCTTGATATGCAGCAGCTGAGAGAAGCGTTAAGTTCATGTTCTTTACTTTCTTTAGAACTTGGTCATTTCAAGAGTTTTAACAAAACACTTGAAATTTCTTAAATGGATTAGAATTTCAAAGGTAGAAAACTTTGCACTAAAAGAGATGATAATTTCTTATTCAGAAAAACATTTTAGGATGAGCTTAATTATACATTAAAAGTTGTATTTGCAGGGGAGAGTAAAAATGGGACTAGAATTGAAATATTTTAAGTAGGCTCGACTGTGTAAATAAAATTATGGGTTTGGATCTAAATTTGATGTATTGTGGATAATAGTGTTTTATGGACTAATAATAATTATTATTATTAGTTATTATTATTAAATTTATGTTCAACCATATATTTTTCAAGAAATATTTAATTGTAGATTCTAATATCAGATTATCAATATATTCTCTTGCCAAAGTTAAGTCTTGTTTTAGCATAAGTACAACTACATTTTATTTTGTTCAGACTTTACAGTTTTATATTAGAATATTCTCAGGTAACAAAAGGAATTAGAACATTTTATGTACAGTTCATCCCTCTTCAGGTATTTGGTTAAAGTATGCTCTTTGTTAATATCAAACAGTTGTTGAATGAGTGAAAAATGCTGAGATAAATAATATTTATAAGCATATAAATATATATAGTTGCAACTTGCATCAAATTATCATTTGTCACATTAAAGTTTTATATTGTATATCATATATTACGAATATAATGTAAGATACTGGTATTGAATCCTTTCAGAGGCACTTATTAAAAAAAGTTATTTCTATAACAAAGTGCATGGTGATTTGAATGTCCACATCCCTGTGGAGAAGTTTTTTTAGCATATAAAATTAGTAGATTTTTTTAAAGTGGCCAACTTGAAATTCAGGCCTTTGCAGACTTCATAATTTTACTTTATCTGTCAAAAATAATTAATTTATCTCAGAATTTCCCGAAAGGAAATAAGTTAACTCTGTGATAACCATCATTAGTTCAATATTTCTGAGAAAATAATTTTAAGAAATTAATTGTCTCAGATTTTTAAATTGTGTCCAGCACTTCAGAAAAGAGCTTACTTACCATTAAACATTTTCAAAAAATTATAAAAATTAAAAAGATTTATATTTAAGGACTGCTATTTTCTTCTTAAACAACAAAAAATTGATGTTGTCAACTCATAAAACTAAATCCTTACTGTTGATAATGAAACTAAAATTCAGCTGTAAAAGAATTCCAATTTTAAAAGCTGTAGTGTTTGTTTCTGTAATGCTTTCTGAGTAGAAAATAGTGTGAATGAAAGAATACCAAGATATAAAAAATGTATGTTACCTTTAAAATAAAATTCAAACTATATGGAAGGACTTGCATAATCTATGTTGTTGCAAGATTTTATCATTGCTATCAGATTTTATTTTCATTGTTGATGAGAGAGAATAAAAAATTTTGCAGTTGATATACGTAGGTATTTTTATAGGAAATTAGAAAATAATCACTGAAGATACCAGAAAGATATTTTGTTTATCTAGCTTATGCTATAAAATATTTTTTAAACTGTTATTGAGAAATACCTATAAATGAATTTATTAAATGATTGAATTCCTTACATTTATGAGTAATGTCCTTTTATAATGTTAAATATGTATAAAAATCATGAAAAGTCTTATGCAAAAACAATTGTCAAGAATGTGGTCATGTTCTTTATCTTTAGTGGGCCGTATCGGTGGCTGAAGGATTGAGAACTTAAAATACTGATACTTCAATCCCAGGTCAGCCTGCTGGTTGTATGATTGTTTTTCATGGTTTTTCCCGATGTGTGACTTTTAGCCAGTTTTCCTTTAAAAGATCCTCCACCAAGTTGTCCCTCTCTTTACAGTGCTTTTGGTGTCAGGCATTTCATTATTCTCAGGGAGGGTGTATGCATGAAATGTGCTGGAGATCATTATTCACTGCCCTAAATTAAGAGAAGAGACACCCAAGTGTATAAATTGCCAAATGGATCATACAAGTAACAACAAAGGTTGCCCGAATTTCTTTAAGGCCAGTGCACAAAACCCGCCTATGGAGAAATTCAGCGATAGGGTAATTACCAATAAAACAGCTGCAGTGAGCGAGCAAAATAGGAATATAAATGAAACTAGAACTATTTTATTTTTGAAGGACTAAAAACCTAATTGAGGCAATTAAAGCCTCCGGAATTTTGCAATTAAACTTCTAGCGCAACTGCTAGCTGTTCCAACGTGGCCACCAAGCCCAACCATGGATAGGCACACCAGTGCTTTCAGGCCAGTTAAAAATGTTTGTGTGGAACGCTAACAATCTTAGAGATAAGAAAGATGAATTAGAAGACTCTATGTATGACAATGACATTGATATTTGCCTGATCTCCGAGACGCATACCACCCCAGGAGACAGAGTTAGCTTCAAAACTGTAGGACTGATCGATGTGATCGGTTACATCACAGAGGAGGAGCAATCATTTAAGTTCCATGTAAATATTCGTCATGCTTCATTTCCACGGACAGACACAAGGGCTATGAACTTGTGGTAGCTTCTATTCACCTGCCAAAGATTGGAGATACCTTGTTTGCAGCAATCTACAACCCCCCGACTGATTATTCCTGATTCCTCAAAGATAATTGTAGGTGGTGATCTTGTAACCTCTACAAATCGTATATAATCTTTTCTTTTGTACAAATTTATGTAGGCTGTGAGTGGCAACAGTAGAAACGAAAATAGTAGAATGATGTTTAAAAAAAAGAACATCTTTAAATAGTGAATAATAAATTGTTTTCTTTTAAATTTAGTAGCGTAAAGTTATTCTTAAACCAGAAAAATAATGCATATGATGTAGCAACCGCTACTGTCTTAATAGTAAACACCAATTATAATGGTGGGGCTGCCACAGCACCAATTATAATAGTATTTTTGTACTTGATGTACTCAACCTTCAGACCAAGCAGCATTGGATATATGCCAGATATCTTGGACATCATTTTGTCTAATACTGCAATCAACATGGTGCTGAATGTTCAAGAGAACTTAAGATCAGGCCATACTCCTGCTGTATCTACACTGGGGGTCACTAGTATTAACTACTCTAATATTAAGACATACACTGACTAGCGGATTTACCACAATGTTGTGAAAATGAGACTCCCTAGATTAGGGGTAATGAAAAGTCCATCTGAGATTGACTAGGAAATCCATGTTTTTACAACATGTCTCAATGACTCATATTATGAGGCCACCAAAATTACTCAAAGGTCTAGTAAACTACTAAATAAGATGAGCTCCGGTTCTTCTTTTTATAAAACTGAACCACAATTTAAAGGGAACAAATTTTAGAATTCCTAACGTTTTAGTTTAACAATAAGCAGACTTTGCAATACTCTTATTTCCCTAGAACTACGAAATCATGAGAACATGAGACGTTCAAATAAAGTCCCCTCACTCACATGCGGAAACCTTTCCCTTTAAGAAGGGCAATAAATTTAGGGTATTTTGTTTATGAACGCTTAAATTTCTCGCCATGCCATCGTATCTAGTGTATTGTTATCGATGCTTACAGTTAGTTATCCTTGCAGGAAGAAAAATTTGTGTTTTTAAATGTCTGTGAAGTGACAGCGAGTACAATAAGAGTGAAATATTGTGATAAACTGCTCAAGTACGTCCTATACATCATCTTCCCACAGTATCCACTAAAGGGGCAAAGCGTAACCAGCAACTGTACATTCATCCTTAGGAGTCAGATTCAGGACTCATTTTACCCCTGATACATCCGCTTGATGGCTATAATTATATCACCAGAGAGCCGCGATCAAAGAGAACGTTTTCTCTCACCAAAATTCCTCTCATTTTGTTTCCACCCACTCATAACCCCATTCTGTTTCGCCTGGAATTTTCATCAGCTATACTTTAAGTATGTTTATTTTTTGTGAAGATAAAAGAACTTCTCCCACGATCAGAGCTTAAATTAGGCCGGATCTCGGCACCGGTGCTTCTTAGTTTTTGTAATAGATCATAATTAACTACTTTCACAGAAGATTAAGATTTTTGAATGATCACCCTAGGAAGCTGACATTATATATATGATTGAATCATCAAATGCGTAAGAAGTTATCTTAATTCTTCAAAATTGGATATATTTCATCGCATTTTTTTTCTGTGCAAAAAATTTGGTCAATATTCATCTTTTAACTGATGGTTCGTGGGAACCAGAACATTCATGTAGACAATTCTTTTATATACCAGGAGAAGCTACCAAGTGCAATGGGCATTACAGAAAAATATTCAACTTTATAAAAATAATTTTTAAACGCGAATTATTAATGAAGGTTTCGCAAAAAAATTTCAAAAATAAACAGTTGTGATTTTGTAACCTTTGAATAAAACTTCCTTTATATACGATGCTGTGTTTGTGAAGCTATTGATTTTTAAATAACTCGCATGTTTACAACGGATTGAAATGAGATTTAGCATTATTTGTTCTTCACGTAGCAGAGGGAATTACTACAAGCATTTAAATTCCATTTGCAGATTGCCTGATTATGTTAACGAGTGATTTTGTATGTTTTGAAAGTATTCCGACGAAATGATGGAAGTACGCATAAAATTGCTGGCTTATTTATTTTCGTTCAATCAATCACGCTTCTAGCTGCTTTGCTATTTTTCAGCTGATTTTATTGCCTCTCCAATGTATGAAGTATTTTTTCTACAAACACAATACTGATGCTTTGCGTACTGTTACATTTCGAAACCAAATCTAGCATTAGCACAATCCATAAATTCTAAACGCTAGATAATTTCATGATTTGTGTTTTCCTCAACTTTGGAAGCTGATGAGAATCCAAAATTTTTGCATACATGTAGCTGTCGAAGCACTTCAATGTCATTCAAATAAATGTCAACTAAATTACTCCTTCTGTTTCAAGTATTCACTTTTTCCTACAGCAAACCAACGTAGTAGACCCAATAAGAGATATTTAGTATGATAAAACTTAATGGGAAAAATACTCTTGACGCTCGATCAATCATTATAGCTCTCCTCCTACGCCTTTGAGCGGGTGAAAGGCCTGGTAACTTCGGCTGCAGGTTGTAGATCCTCATACTTTCCTAAAAAAGAAAATATAACTGTGTAAAAATAAATTTTGAAATAATTTAAAATAAAAAAGTAAATTTTGGATATCTTTGAATGCTAAAAAACAACAGACACTATAGTGACGAGAATGTATTTGCATTTTCAGAGCGGAGTGCGCAAATAAAACTTTAGCGATAAGTAAGTGAATATATGTACTGTGCTGTTATTGAAACAGCGCATTACAGCCGACGAAATAAATCTGGAGGTTCCTCGACTGGTAATGATTATCAGTTAAGCTGCTCCTGTGTACCTCCGGTTTTAATCCTTGCTTAAAATAAGAACTCCTGTGTCTATGTCTTTGCGAAGAGAAGACATTTAAAATTCATCAGGATCTAGTACTTTTGAAAGTTGATGGGAGAGGAAGAAGGTTACGAGATTTTCGAATTCCGTCCTCTGTGATGTCAACTAAATTACAATGATGATCGCAATCAAAATTGAAATGAAGCTACTAGATAACGCTATACTGTTACTATTGCTTTTCAAAGACTATAACTAACGATAATTGCAAGTATTTTCTCCCGCTGTTGTTTATGAGGCTTGGTTTCTGGCTAATACATGTATTCATAATAAACAACAACAGCAGATTAATGTAAAACGCTTCACTACTTCTATCATAGATACATTATCATAGCAAATTAGATGAGTCTTTCTGTCTCTGAAGTAGTAGAGACTGATGGATATATTAGCGCTTAGGAAAGCCATCCATGTGCCTTTTTCGTACTGGAACATATGATTTCAAGTGACGCGTTGAGGCCCTAGCGCAAAAAATAAGACAGGAAAGGAAACAAATTGCTTAGTTATAGCACCCGGAATTATTTACAATAATCACCCGAAATTACTTCCACCAACAGTAATACATGCTTGTCAGCATCGATGGAGTAACTGGCGTAAAGTTTCAAAGATGCCAGGCGTTCTTCGCACACGTGCAGTCGCAAAGGGCATACGGGAAACGAGGTTCTCCTCAACAAAATCAGTTGGATTTTCGTAAACAGAGATACTAATGTCTCCATAAGAAGTAATCGAGGCTCGATAAATATGGTGATCGAGGTGGCCAACTGTTTGGTCCACCCCAGCAGTCCATCGATCTCTCAGTATTTCATTCAGGTAACTGCACACATCTATGCAGTTACATCTATCGGCTGGTGCTCCATCGTGCTAAAACATAGTTGATTATGAACAGCAACAGGAACATTTTGAAACAATTCTGGTAAAGCCGTTCCAGGAAAATGCGATAACATCTCCAATCGACTAGCGTTAGAGGTTTTTATCGGCCAAGTCACTTACAGTACCACCCACGTACTTTCAAATAATCGTTCTTAGAATGCATGTAGACCTGCAGAGTGTGAATTTGGAGTTAATCACAAGTGACAGTTGTGCACATAAAAGATACTTTTATATGAAAAAATTCCCCTGATATATGATATCTGTGATCTGCCCATGAACTGGGAAGTCTCAATGCAGTTTTCTCTTCTGCAAAAACCGCTAGCAGAATTCCACGCACAGAGAATAATTTTCCGATTTTGAAAATTTTTTCGTGAAAAGGGAGCAGGTTTATTCGTTCTTCGTTTAACGTTTTCCAAACAGGGGTCGGCTCACACCTCCGTGACATGTAATAACTGTTGTACTTGTGTCAGGTCTGTCTTTTGCAAGCTTCAAAAAAGAAAGTCTCCACGCCTGGATGTCATACAATTCACGGTCTATCCGTTTATCTCCTGTTGTTATAGAGGGAACCAATCTCACAAATTTTGATGTGTCCATTTTGTAGTCCTGAGTAGTAACCGCAGGTACTCTGGAGCCCAAAGGATGCCGCCATGACGTAAGAGAACAATGGATGGCGCAACGGGGGTGCCTTTAATGTGCGCCGTCGCCATCTTGGATAACGTGACAACCGGAAGTAACGATATCAGCGCCATCTTGGATTTCTCCGAAAGAGACGCATGGAATGACGTCATGCATAGTTTCGTTTTTATTGTATGGCAACGACCCTATTTTTGAAAGTTTTTATTTTTTATTGCAACTACAATACTTTTTTAGGTTTTGTGGCAACGGTATCTTGAACCACGTGTTTAGACATCGTTTTTTAATTTATTATTTTTAACTATTTGACACGTGATTAATTATTTTTAATTATTTAATCTTCTTAATAAGTATTTTAATTATTTAGTACGTCATTATTTTAATTATTGCCTTTAATTAATTTTTATTGAATTTAATATTTTCCCTGAATTTTAAAAATAACCCCCTCGAACGAGATTCGAACCCGCCACCTCTTACATGAGAGAAAAAGAGCGTTACCGCAAGGCTGCTTTTTATCTCTTGAAACCTGTTATCTGTCACCTTTTCCTGCCTCTTTGTGCATTTCACATTGTGTACCATGATGTCACGAGGCGGAAAGTCTGCGCATGCGCCAACCTGCCTTGAAAACGGCGCCATACATTTGTTTTTTCACGACGGTGAATGAATGCAATATTGATGGCCAAACAGATTCTTGCTAATAATACCCCTTTTTTGTAATCAATGAGCATGTTTATTTTGTTGGAAATATGGCATATTTTTATTCCATTTTTTATTTCACTGTTACAGTCTGGCTTGGGGAAAATGTTTTCATGGATATGGCATACGTCTCCTATATGTCTGCCACTGTTCTAATAAATTACATTACGAACAAGTGTGAATCTCTAGTTATACAGGAATTATCTCGAATGTTTGCTTAATCTGAAACAAAAAATGCAACCCTTGTGCAAAAATAGAGCAAGTTTATTTTAAAAAGTTCTCCACAAATACATTTTTGTTTCTTGGTCCTTACATGCTTTTCTGCATTTATCACTCAAGTTCTTTACCTATCTTTTATCTAATTTATGAAGTATTACTGTTTGAATTTGTTTAACTGATTTTAAAGTACATATATATTTTGATCAATGCGTGAAGAAACGAGGAACTGTGGCATCGAGTGGTTCTAAGCATTCCATACTGCATTTTTCTTAAGAATACAGCCGGTTAAAAGAGAAATGTGTTTCGTACTTTGTGAAATGTATTTTATTAACTTATTATGTGCCATGTTCATGGTAAATAAAAATATTATATTCATGTGCGCAGGATTGTGTGGCTCCAATGTTTAATTAAAATAATGCTTTTTTGAAAGTGTGGTCTTTCTTATGATAAGTCACACTAAAATACGTTAACATTTTAAAAGTTGATGACTATAGCAGATCATTATATAGAGTTTCTGTCATTATTACCCATTATGTAGGATTATTTGTATGTATTTTTATTTGCTATCTATGAGAAGTTAAATGTCAATAAAAGCTGTAAGAGTTCATTATTAAGCAATGCCAGTTTTAAATGTCTATCTTAAAATGACTGTTAGATCTTTTACGTTAATTACTATGTTGGATCATTATTTGGAACTCCACACAATATTTCGTGCAATGTATCATAACTATATAGGAATTATTTATCAGGTATGATAAATTTCGTTCTCAAAAGGCTGTAAGAATTCAGTGCTAAATAAATTATTGTCAATGTGAAATATGGGTATCTTTCAGTTAAGTTACAATGAATGCGTTAAAATGCTGTGAGACTCAGCAAAAATTAATGATCATACTTAGTGGTTGGAAAAAATACTCCAAGTTAACAAATTTTTATATTCCAAGTTGGGGAAAATGTGACAAAGTTTCATTTCCATGGCTGAATATTAATTCCATGTGTATTATAGACTTTGAGTTCTCCTTCACAAAATGTGACTATAATTCAAATTTAAAATAATACGTTACAATATACATATTCTTCTCTGCAGTTAAAAAATAATTTGATCTCCTGTACCTTGTTAAGAGAGTAAGGCTGTGACAAGTTCAAATATAGTAGTGTTTATAAAGTTCTGCTGCGGTAACTTGGTGGAATCATATTAAGAATCCGAGTGACGTTTTCACATCAAGGAAAAATCAAGGTTCAGTGTAAGTTGGTGATTTAAGTAGGATGTGTGCAAAAAATACAAGTTATTTTTTGTAAAATATTTCAAAGAGTTGGGAAAATTTGTGTTAGTAGTATAAATGTAATCTTAATAAAAAGGGAGTGTTCTGAATATATATATAAAATGTCTGTAGAGTAAATAATAAAGAAATGAAGTACCTATTGGTATGCGTATCTAAACTTAACTGGGTAGAAATGCCCCATGCATTGGTTTGAGTGGACTTCATACCATGAAAATTTATTACTCCTTATAAGATTTGTTCAAAGTCAGTAGGTCTTGCAATAACGAAATTTATGTAAGTCTGTATTTAATTTTTTGGGAAAAGGAATCAGAAATACAGCATGAATATGTTTTATAAGTTAAATATAAGGGTAAATGTGTAAATGGAAAGTGTAAAATTTACATTTGTCAGACATAGTTTGGTAAATCCTTCGAATAAAGGTAAGACGTGTAAAAGAGAATACGTGAAGTTTTGTATAGTTGGCCAAAAAGTTAATACAGTCATTAATTCAGAGAGTTAATGCATTAGAAGAGAAAGTTCTGAGTATCTCCAACTTAGTAGTAGAACAGTAAGAAATGTAGTATTCCAGTTAAACTATATAGAATGAGCATTGTGTATATTGGCTTAAAGTTACAAAAAATATTTATCCAGTGAAGTTATATGCATGTAAATCCCAGCTTAAAATTTCGTAAGACACAGAAATGTAGGTAACTTTACTTTTGGAGAATGGAAATGTAACATCATGTTGTATTTAAACAAAAGAAAAAGTTAAGGGTAAAATAAAAATGTAACAAACAAAACTTTTAAAGAAAGAAAAAAAATAAAATTTACGTTTGGAAATAAAATACATTAGGAAAAAAACAAAAAACTTCATTTGTGTAAACAAAAAACGAAAAAAAAAATTAAACTTATGAAAATAAATATCACTTTTGTAAAAAAAATGTAGTAACACCTTTTTTTAACATAACAAGCGGAAAGGAAAAATTAAATTTGTAAAAATAAAT